TTACAATGAGCACAAAAGATTATGATGCTCTGCAAGAGCGAGGAGACGGTCCTGAGGGGACCTCGCAGCGCGCAATTTGCGTGCTAACACAGCGATTTCCTCAACGTTGATGTTCCTAATTGCGGAATACACCGTTTTTAGGTCATCAGCCATTGAGGGCTGTGATTGTTGTGGTTGAGGGGCGGAGGATGTCCGCGGTGGTACTGCCTTTTTGGGGCCCCAGGGAAAAACTGGAGGCTGCATAGGCTGAGAGAAGCCCGGAGGGGGCCGAATAGTGCCCTGAGGGGGCCTAGGAGGACCCTGAGAGGGTCGAGTGAAGCCCTGGGTGGGCTGTGAAAGGCCCTGACGGGGCATCCGTTGGTAAAGAGCCGGGAATGAGCGGTCATTGACCGGCGGTGGAGCTTGCCTACTGGGGCGAGGATGAGGTGCGCAAGGGCAGCCTCTGTAGTTAGCCGGGTGGCCCGTTTGTTTACACAGGACACACGCGGGTGGGGATTCGGCGTCTTTGGGCCGAGGACACTCTTTAGTGTTGTGGGGTTCAAGGCACTTAACGCACCTGGGTGGGGCGGAGCAGTTGGCCGCCGCATGACCATATAGCTGGCAGCGGTGGCACTGCGCCGGGAACCCGCGCCTATGTGGAGGCTCAACCCTCACTCTCGACAGGCCGCACACTGTGCGTACCTGCCGGAAGATGGCTTTCGCCTCCGGCACGTTGGTTAAAATTACTAGGGCAAGAGAGAACCTCTGGCCTGTTCTACTGTGCATTTTGTGCACGGCTTCTACGGGGAAACCTTGGGACTTAAGGTCCTCAAGGATTTCTTCGTTTGAAAATTCGAAGGGGACGCCGCGGATGACGGCCCTGACTTTGCGCTCTTCCGGAAGAGCGTATGTATGATAAGAAACTCGTTCGGCTGTGAATAGCCTGGTGAGTCGCCGGAAGTCGTCGATTGATTGGGGGATGATCTTAATAGCCTCCCCGAGGTTGATGGCGTGGTCATATTTTATGCCTGCGTTGTAGCAGGTTTTGGAGAGTTCTGTGAATTTAGCCTTGTCTCTTAGGAAGACAGGGGGCGGGACTTGCTTCTTGGCAAGGACTGGAGCACAGCGAGAGGCTGGCTTGGTCGGAGCGGGAATGTCTAGTGACATAAGTGGGGCTGAGGCAGCGGCGGGGGCTGCGGGGGCAGAGGCGGCAGCGGGAGCTGCGGAGGTTGAAGGAGCGGCAGGGGCCGCCGAGACAGGGAGGGTGCGGTTTTTAGCGGCGCGTTTACCGTTGCGCTTGGAGTTCACCGTGGTGAACGAAGAATCCCCGGTTCCGTCGGAGTCACAGGACTCCGATGAGCCGGTGCCAGAATTGGTGGCGGGCCTCTTCCGGGAGGCCGATGCAGAGGACTCGGAGCATGCGTACTCCATTTCTAATGGGGCGAAAGAGTTCTTTGTCTCTAGGTAGGCCGCAAGTACGGGCGGCGGTTGGAGTGCCTGACGGGCAGGGGGAGTAACATGGGCGGCGATGGCGGCAAGGGCCGTCTCATCGAGGTTTAGGCCCAGACCAAGAGTTTGGTTTAGGGCGGCGACGAGGGACTTAATTTGGGTAATTGTGGACATGTTGAGGGCAGTAGTTTTACGAAACGTATTTGATACGGAAGGGGCTAGTGGGTGCTGTTCTGAAAAGAACAGAGACGAGTACCTAAACAGTAAGGGCGGGATCACCGTTCTGAGAAGAACGGGACGTTATTAATTCTAGGAGTAAGTGCCCCTGCTCTCAAAAGAGCAGGGCCTTGCTCTGAAAAGAGCAAGTAACTCCCTAGAAACAGTATATACACGTACACGTTATACAAATAAATAACGAAAACAAAATTAGAAATAGTTAACAAAAGAATTAACAATAAAAATAACAATAACAAGCAAGACCAACAGTCAAACCGCCCCGCCCGGAGACAGGGAGGTAATAACTGGAGTTAGCGTAAAATGACTCACCAAGGCGTCGACGCTGTAAGCGCGAGCAGGACAGCGGAGGCGCGAGAGCGAGAGAGCACTACCGTACGGGGACGGATGCGCGGACTACCTGGACACGACCGCTCGAGAGCGGTGCCACAGGCGGAATGATGTAACTTTTTTTATTCATTAATCCAATAAGTAGAGGTGAAAGCAATTGAGCACACAGTCATTTCGCGAGGTTTAGAACAATTAACTGATAAACTGTAATTTTTTTACGTGCTAATTGTAAACAATTTTATGGTTCTTATTAAAACAGAAAAAATCAAATCTCGATTTTTAGGGTGAAATATCGATTCAATTCGATCTTTTTGGAACAAGAAATACAATACAAAGGTACAGGTACCTTGTTAGATAGTGGCAGCTACGGCAAATATACTATAGGTACTTTGAGGCAATATAGGGGGAAGGCCTGTGTTTAGCAGTGGACTTAAAATAGGCTGTAACGGTAAGTGTTTATTGTAATAGTGATAAGATAAATGTAATAGTAGGGGGAAAAAAGATGGAACATTTATTTTGTTTTATCTTGGCGAAACGCGGGTGCTCCGTGCGATGTTTAGGTTTAGGCGTTGCCAAGGTGAGCGATATTTGCTTAAATAAATAAAAATTCAATCATAGGTATATACTTTATTATCATCTTTAACCAATGCCATTTTTATCGAAAACAACATAATATTCACGATGTATCGGAATTATAACATAAAATGTAATTTTCGCACATTGGACTTTGTGATGATTTATAGTGATAACTCACACTTTATATTTCTTTTTGTAAATCGCTTAGTGGTTTTTCAGTTCCTTCTGACTACTTTATTTCATACGTTCGTATGAAATACTACGTATAATGAAATGTATAAAATTGTTACGAGACAAAATATAAGCAAATAAATTTTGAAAACTGTGTAATTGCTTACCTTTTATATAAAAAACTAATCAACAAGGTTTCTTTTGTACCTACTTAATTTTTTTTAAATTGAAGTTGCCTCTTGCACTTACGCGGTGAAGGAAATGGACTTAAGTATATGAAGTAAGCGGGACAGTAATGGCGCAAACTCGTTACTTGAAGTAAATTCTCAATACAATATTTTTTTTTGCGAAACTAATTCTAACAACATTTTTAGAATTTTAGTTATATAATTCTTATAAATAACATAGTAAAAAAGATTAGTTCTGAGCATTCTCATCTATTGCTCTGAGTAAACCATATATTCTTTGGTTCTGAGGGGTCCCTTCTAAATATTACTATACTTTGGTGGGGTCTATAAAATTATCACGGGGGAGGCCGATGTGAACCGGCGGGAATTTACAAATTAAAACCATTTCATTGTATTCGCGGTTTCAATATTTTCGTTTCGTCAATGGTCACGAAGCGACATTACCACTTACAAAAATTTAAAAATAGCCGCAGCACATTTGTACGCAATGAGGTCACGGTCAACACTGTCTGCTGTTGGCTGGCCAGGCGGACGTAAGGAGGACCTAACGGTGTAACGGCTATCGGAAAGGAAATGCGCGGAAAGACGCGCGACAAGGTACCTAAATTTTGTAACCGAGTGACCCTTACGAATGTGTGCAGACGTAGTAAAGCAGTAGGCGTTAAATATTTATGAATGATAATCAGTTGAAATAATGCATTACAACACATTCTGAATTTAAAAGGTAAAAAGGACAGAATGTTTGAGATTTTCTTAGTTAAATTACTTTCAACATTCGGCTATAATACTTATTTTGAACCTTCTCTGCAAATTTGGCCCCATATTGCACAATAGCTTTGTACACATAAGGTTCGGAAGGTCGACCTTTATAACAGCCTGTATAAATTTACCCGATACATACACATTGAAAAAATGTTAGGGAGGCATTTATTAGATAAGGATTAGGTATAATTTACAAGTGTATTCTACCGTGTAGAATAAGCTACCAGCAGCTGTCAACGTTTGCTGATCTTGGGAGGCTGGCCTGTAAGAGAGTGCGTAGTTTGTTGCTGTTTTGGTGTAGTTTTGTGATTTCGGTAACTGAACGTTTCAGGGGGTGAAATCTCAATACAGTACGTTATTTATCTATTAAATATAATCCCAAACCGCCACACTTAGTATTGAGGTTCTCTATGTTAAATTATTATACTGTAAATTAATATCTTTAAATTTGGAGTGTTAGTTTTTGTGATATTAACAAAATATTCATCCATTTATGAACATGCTCCACTAAAAATCATTTGACCAATTTCCCAATTATAATATTAGACTAAGAAATGTTATGTAAGCTTTATTGTTGTAATATAAAGACCTTTTATTTTTATTCTTTAATACCTTTCGAATACTTTAAGCGTGTTTTTAATCATTTTAATGAATTTTTATAACAAATATCAAGCCTTCACTCTGCCACACCAGATGCACCATACTTGTAAGCAGGAGCCACTTGTGAAGACTGGTTCGCTATGTACTGATAATCCCCAAATTTTAATCTCCTTTTTAACCAACTTCAAATAAGAGGTAGTTCTCTATTCAAGTGTATGTTACGAGATGTCTTCGCGGGTTGTGAACCAATTTTGATGATTCTTTTTATTAAATGGGTTATACAAGGGTGGTTTCATACTAATTTGAAAAAAAAAATTCAACTGTAAAGGTAGCAAATAAAAAATTTCTTTTTAGCTATTTGAAGTCGGTTTTTACTTTTTGTTAAAAGTGATAATTATATTATTTAGTTATCGATTGATTACTGATGGGAATATTATATATGGAAATGTTACTTTGTTTTTACTATTACAATATTAATTGTAAAAGAAATGACATAAAAAGTGGAATGCGGAGTTTCCTTTGCCATTTCTTCATCGGAAAGAGGAACATCATTGTAAAACGATAGTTGTAGATTTAGAAAAAAATTAACGTTTAACAAAAGACATTTCAATGTCTTACGTCGAAGAAATAAATATATCTCATTTCATTGCATACTATAAGCACTATAAGAAATAAATGTATAATTATAATAAAAACTATATTTGTTTTCTATTATAATAAAATTTTATACAGATGGGTACAATCGTTAAACACTTTTGCTTTTTTGCAAACGTCTTGCTTGTGTTGAATTGAATCCGCATTCTCTGCACATGAGCTGCCATTATCACTCATTAACTTCCGCTGATCCAGTTGATGTGCCACTTGAACTCTTTTACTGAAAATAAAGTCTTTAATCATTTTCCTTGTTAATAAATTAAAATTCGCTTACTCAGCGTGGCCGTTATGTACAAATTATTTAAGAATCTTTTACATTTAGGGGAATAAAGGCGGCGGGGATTCGTAATAAAGAAGAAATTATGAGTAGTTTTTTTTTTAGTAGAACGTAAAATCGTGAAATAACAGAATCACATCACAAACATTATATGAAAAAAATTGCCTGTCACGCTGGGTAGGTCAGGTAATGAGTTCAGATTTCTTATGTTCATTTGTCGTCATTTGACCCTTAAAACATTGGCCGTCTATCAGGAGGATACTCCGCTTGTAGATGAGGTTGGCATTCGGAGAACGAGACATATTATTATTTCATTAATTATTTCTACAAAAGTGCCTATATCATTGCTTCCCTTAAGAGTCGCGACGTGACTGATGGCGGAATAAGTATCTCAAAACTGTAAGTGTATAATCTTGACAGGAAGGTAACTCTAAATCGACGTGTGATGCTTGACGTGCTCAGCACAGCGGAACACTATGAAATACTGTACTGTCGGCACATCGCCCTCAACTTTACAAGACGCAGGTTCGGCTTCACATGGAAAACTGTTCCCATCTTCGACTCCCTAGTGCCAACTCCTTCCATTTGATTTCCAGCGGAGAGCGGTTCAAATTGTTGGCGACCGAGCTCTTTCTGATCGGCTTGACTCACTGGCACTGCGAAGAGATGTTGCATCTCACTGTGTATTTCATCGCATGTACCACGGGGAGTGTTCTAAGGAATTTTTTGGACAAATTCCAGTCGCCCAATTTCACGGAATATTGGCGGTCCACCACTGAGCGATTTACAAGAAGTTTTCTTCTTCGCACAACTTGCTTGTGGAATCAACTACCACCAGCGATTTTTCCGACAAATACAACTTAGGGACTTGCAAGAAAAGAGCCTACTCTTGTTAAAAGGCTGGCAACACACCTGCGATTCTCGTGGTATTGCAGTTGTTCGTGGGCTGCGGTCAACACTGACCATCAAGTGAGCCACAAGCTCGTTTTCCCTTTTTTCTATAAAAACGGCAAAAGCAGCTTAAAGAAGCGAACATTTGCAGGTTGCTGACGACAGTTACACTAACGACAAGTGAAAACAGTTTCCAGAAATATATGACGAAATTAATAATGACAAGATATTAAGTGGGCTTATAAACATTAAACTCTACTAAGATTTTTATACGTGGTAGATCCATGCTGCAACTATACTAGTAGCATAGTTGTAGCACAAATGGGTCGGCTCGACCGGGGAAGGACCACGCTTTCAGAAAATACCAGCGTAAAATGGGAGCTTGATACTGCTGTGTTTCGTATGGTGAGTGTAGAGAACCGGATACTCATTTTACTGGAAAAGAGACATTTCATGTTAGTCCTCGAGTGACGACGCATCTGCGTTTTGATTCTTTATTGAGGATAAATGTAGATGTCTATGGGTTAGCACTTATTTACCATCAGGTGCACTGTGTGCTCGTTTGTCACCCTATCCTATAAAAACAGATCCATATATAAGTCCATCTGGGCCTCTGGGCCACCAGTTCCTCAACTATTTCTGATAAAATAGGAGTGCGTGTGTTCCGGTCTCAAGGGTTTAGAGAGCCATTATAATTACAAGCTTTGGGGCATTCAATTTAAATCCTCGGGATGACATCGCATCTGTAGTTTTATTTGTATAGTGTTATAGTGTCCCTGGACTGCAGTTGCCACTATTTATATCGTCAAGTGACATATATATAATAAATGACAAATAAAACGTATAAGCCCAAATTAACAAAGTAAATAACTACAGTTAGTAACTTTACCGATAGATTTCTAAATTTATTCCTCCGTTTGAATTCATGATTCCCAATTTTTTCAACACACAAAATATTATACAAGCTTCGTCGGATTCTTGAAATTCCACACGTTTTCCTTTTGGATACATTTCATTAAGACATTGGTCTGCGACTATATCAGATGTCTTGTCATGTGCGTACATAACGGATATACGAGCATTCGCGCTTGTTAATAGAAGTAAGATTATTACGATCCTTGCTGAAAATTAAGTGAAAGTAATTATTTTGCTCATCTTACGGAGATATGGATCTAAATTTCAGATATCTAAATATAGCTACAAATTGCAGTGGTCTCGTATTCATCTCCTTCCGCTGCAAACTAGGCGCTATATAAATGACCAGGTTTTACTAAGTAAAATTAATCAAGATCGTTTAAACTGTCGTGATTTATTAAGAACGTTACATATCGCTATACCTTCTCATTCACGTGCTTTATAACAATCCATTAAAAGTATCTTTATGTAGATAAAATTACAGACGAAACTCATTCTTTATAAGAGCATGTAATTACATTTAACAGATTTTCTAAGATCTTTTTTGTACTAGTGGTACTACTAATTGTGAATTAATAACATTTAAGTTCAGTAACAATATATACTTGAATTCTTAAATCTAATCAACATCAACGTAACTTATATTAAGAGTATTTATATATATATATATATATATATATATATATATATATATATATATATATTGTATATATGTATATATTTGCCTTTTAAAAACTTTTAATAGTCTTACATTGTGACTTACATATGTATGTACCATATAGTGTTAATTTATAGCTATTAGATTTCCTGTAATAAGTAAATATAATAAAAATAATGGTGAATTTACACAATATACATTTTAACAGGTAAAAACAACTCTAGTAGTCAATACTTATAACTTATAAATTTAATGTGAACTTTACTTAAGTTCTTGTGATTGAGATAAAATAGTTAATAAATTATGGTCAGCGAATGCTCTGAGTAGACTTATATGGCTTCAACAGAATATTTGCGCTACGGTAACTCTTTTACTGTAGTGTTGTATCCAAAATGAAAATTGTTTTTTTATATTATTATTATATTAAGATTTTTTTGTAAAAATTATTGAAGCAATGAATAAACCCATATTTACCTTCTCCCTGTTTTATAATATTTATTTGAAAAATACTTGTTAATACCTTATATCATGCTATACAAGAATACTGTTAGCTAATTTTATACAATAAGCCAATTCATACATTGAGTGAAGTGTATGTCTGTCAGTATGACTGACATAACATGTTGTAAGGGACTTAAATCGATAAAGTGATATTTACTGCTATTTATTTTAATAAAAACAAAATGTCAATCGAAATGCGACATAATTTATGATGAATAAAAATTATTAATAATATTATATACAATTTAATAAACTTATAACACATAATAAATATTTTGATTACACGGTGCTGAAAGTTCAAAGATTGGTTGTTCGGCTTAAGTTTCATATTAATAGGCTGTCAGCAACATTAAATATTTTAATTATAATATAAAGCGCTGATTCAAGTCTAGGCTAGCGGAAAGGACGTTATCGCAAGAAAACCACAACCGATATGAAAAAAAAAATATTAGAAATACGCAGTCACCAAGTCCACATTGGGGCAGCCAGGGACAGCAGAGCAATAGAAATACTTTATAAGCGCCTTCTACGGAGTACGTGAGCCTTGCAATGATATTAATAAGCTATAACCTAACTAAGAACTTTTTTATTAAAGAAGTTTATAAGTTGTTGACGAGTATGTTTACCTGGGACAAATAGTCCGACTAGGTAAGTCCAACTTCGACCGAGAGGTCAATCAACGGATTCAACTCAGCTGGGCAGCGTTCGGGAAATTACGACACATCTTCTCGTCAAAACTTGAAAACGAGACTGTACAACCAGTGCGTGTTGCCAGTGATAACTTATGGAACTGAGACGTGGTCCTTCACTGCTGGCCGTATGAGAAAGCTCAGGGTCGCTCAGCGAGCTATGGAGAGGGTTATGCTCGGGGTTTCTCTGCGTGATAAACTTAGAAATGAGGATATCCGCAGTAGAACCAGAGTGACCGACATAGCCCAACGGATTAGCAAGCTAAAGTAGCAATGGGCCGGCCATATAGCTCGAAAAACCAACAACCGATATGGAAAAAAGGTTCTCGAGTGGCAGTCTCGTGCTCAAGGCGGTAGGCGAAGTGTAGGTCAACCTACCACTAGATGGAGTGACGACCTGGTAAGACATGTAGGCAGTCGATGGGTGCAAGTGGCTCAGGACCGTGTTTTGTGGCATTCCTTGGGGGAGACCTATGTTCAGCAGTGGGCTTGTGAAGGGTTGTAATGATGATGATAATGAAAGTTAAAAAGTTATAGCCTATATACGTCTCGCATTGGGAACAGCCCTTTTCTCACTTCTGAGAGGGTTTTTGTGGCAAGGAAGTGTATGCTGCGCTGCCCGAATGCGTGTTGGTGTACTTCACATGTTCATTCGTCACGTTAGAAATATTTTTTTAATTTTTCGACATGCAGGTTTCCTCACGAAATTGTCTTCACCGCCGAGCACGTGGTAAATCAGCACTTAAAATTTCAATCAGCAATTTAATTGGTGCCGCGCGGGGATCGGGTTGCTCGGGTTACTTCATAGAATCATTTTATATTAACTCCTTTATAACCCTGTTGTTTTCTGCCAGCACGCACGAATCGGTTAGCTCCACGTGGAAGGAACCATGATCCCACAGAATATAAGCATGAAATGACGGAATAATGCTGCTATGGCGAATGACGAGAATGGGATTTTTTTTGATGACGTAACATTCTATTGTGTCCCCAGTGTAACGCATCTGCATTTTTTACTTACATGAGAATGGATGTAGGTGTTTATGAACCACAGCAAAATTGACCATCAAATGGACTTGTGTTTTTTTTATTATTATTACATCTAATAAAAAATCTAAATTTAATGCTGCAGAAAAAGTGCAAATAAATTAAGTTCTCTTTTCTTAAATATTATGAAAGAATTAAGTTAAGCCGATATTTTGATGATCACCAAAAATGAGCCTAGATGTGTTACTTCAGCTTTCTCATATATTATATTATTCTTATATTCTAACAAAATAAGGAAGCCTTTTGCCTTATTTTACAAATTTTATAAATTATTTCTGTTTTATTATAAGAATGCGGAAAATTGTTTTACAGAGTAATCTTTTTAAATTTGTACTTATATAAAATTATATCAGATGCTTTGGTTGTTAATATTAATTGTACATTGAAAGAAGATATTAAAATGAAAAGTTGAAAGATACAAGTATTTCGTCTTGAACTTTGGGTCACAACAAAATTCCTCTGCGAATCCAGCAAGCTTTATTCTCAAATATTTGATACACGATGATTTAATATGATTATTTTTTGAAAACTGCAGGATAATGTCTTTGTACCATTTAGAACCTGTCAGCGTTGTCTTTTTTTATAGGAGAAAGGCTACAAAGGAGCCACAGTTCACCTAATGGTAAGCGGTTGCTGTGGCCCATAGAAATTTACATCTATCCTCAATTAAGAATCAAAATATAGATGAATTCACAACTCAAAGTTCTAAGGTGGAAAACCTCTTTCCATGTAAGAAGAGCCATTGGTTCCTACATTCACCATACAAAACCCAGCAGCACTAAGCTGCTATTTTATGCTCGTATTCTGTGAGAGCGTGGTCCACGGTCAAGCCGACCAATTCGTGCTAAAACTATAACATAGCTACAGCATGGCTCTACTACTTATAAGTGTGTTATAGTCAGATATTGGATTTACTTTATGGATACCTAATATAGCGCCTCCGTCTCCGTTATATGACTATTATGTGAAAAGTTTGCAGTGGGCACACTTTTCACATAATAGTCATTCAGCTTCTAAATTAGTTCATTTAAAAAATAATTTTCTATTATTTTTAATAATTCGAATTATCTTCATAAGTCTTTGAAATAAAAAAAAAACTGAAAAAATTACAGTTTCATTTTGTCTTACTGCCTCTACCACCTTCTGAATAATAGATGAGTTAGGGACGTTTTTAGGTAGGTATTAATGAACCTAGAAAGTTATCTTTAAATTTAAATTCAGTTAAGTAATTTATCTTTCTTTTCCTTTAACTCCTCCACTGATTCCTTCTATAATTTAAAATTTATATTTGTTATTATTTAATCACTACTTTTAAAAATAACGTACACTATATAACGTCCCATCATAGAACATAAGGTTCCTTTTATTCCTGATAGAGTTATTCTTTTAATTTTAGTTTTAATTGTTGAGTGTTATTTTCATAAAATTTAATGGACTTTTCGTAACCTACCACTAGAAATAAATTATTTTTGTAAAGTGAACTTTTAATTATTATAAATTATCTTATTGTTAAGTTCAATAAGGGATAGAACAGTAAAAATATTATTAAAAATCTTAAAAAAGTTTCATTTAAAATAAATTAATCGACGACAGTATTCATCTTAAAACTAGTCTTCCACATCTTTATATGAAATAACATATAACTGTGTACAGTCATTAAAAACTTTCGCTTTTTTACAAACATCGTGATCCAAATTCATTCCATTAATATTCTGAGCACATGTTTCGCCAACGTCCGATATCAAAATCCTCGGATCATAGCGATGAAAAGCTTGAACCCTTTTATAATAGTTCCTTATGTTAATGACACCATCGTTTGACATAATGCCGAATTTTCTGAGAACACAATGTATAATGCATGGGATGTCATTTCTGTCGATACGTAACGGATACTTGTATAAATTCTTTGGATACATTTCCATCAGGCAGTCGTTGGTGATCACATCACTTCTCTTATCTCGAGCATACAGTATTGATAAAGATGGTTCCGTATCCAGACTTTGTGAAAAGAATTTATTTTTGTAACAGTTGACACTTAAAACTAAATAGCATAGTGACGTGAAGATTAGTAATGCTGAAAATTATAATAAGATTAAAATCGATTTACCTAAGTTTTCCGTGTAGATATTCAACATTCAAAAAAAAAAGAAACAAGTAAACAATTATTAAATGATAAGAAAATTATTAATAAAAAACAAGACTGCAGCGATAAAACAAATAAAATATATAAGTTAACAAGTTACAGCCTATATACGACCCACTGCAGGGCGCGGACCTCCTTACATTTCTGAGTATCTATCATCTATTGTAATTCTCATATATAATGCGTACATGTGAAAATAGATAGGGTCAAACATTAATTAATTTCTATTGGTTCCGGAAATCCTTTGAAACTGAACAAATAACCTTTCTAAAATAGAATGTTCATTTATGTGTTTTAGACTTCATTAGACGACACTTTGAAGATAATTCCTATATATAAATGAAACGAATTAATTATATGTTTTAAATTCAATTTTATGTCTTAAATCAATTTCAGCGGTCGGCTTCGGTGCTCAGAAGTTTAGCACTAGCTGGTAGCCGCTGCGTTGCAGTCGCAGACCTAATTGTGGAAATATCGTTTTAAATTTGGCAGAGTTATATTGTTAATTTGGGAATGATAATACATTCATTGATGTTGAATTATATATTATAATTTACAAATAAATTTGTCGGTACGATAGGCGCGCCACCTAAGTAAGTGAATTGCACTATGCCTGTTACTTTCGCGCAAGTGCAGGCAATAAGTTAACAAAGTTTTAGCGCAATGTGATGAACAGTATGGTAATAACAAATATAAATTTTTATATATTAGTTTTAGGCAAGCCTAACCTAAGCAACTTTTTAACTAATAAATATTCATAATAATACTTACATTGCATTGCTCTCTGTGTAATTACTTCACAATTTCATTTAAAAAAGCATAAAACTG